TAATTGCATTTACCCGGGCAAGTAACTTATCGAAAAGCGAACGGGGCCTAAAAGTAATTGAGTGAGGACTTCCATGCCCAAGATAAATAAATAGGGAGATAGTGGGTCTCCCTGTCTCAAACCTCGCTTGAGGTTGAAGTGGCTATGAGTTTTGCCGGTGAACTTAACTGAAGAGGTTGCTATGGTAATACACTGTTGGATTAGATTGCTCCATTTGTCAAGGAAGTTCATTTTCTTTAGAACATGGTATATGAAAGACCAGTCCATCCTATCAGAGGCTTTTGACACATCTAGTTTGAGGGCTACGAAACCTTTCCCTTTTTTTTGGGTGCACATTGTGATTAATTTCTTTCATCAAGAGGATGTGGTCTATTCTTGAGAAAGCCTAACGGGAATGGAGAGATTATTTCTTGAAGAATTAGTTGCATTCTTGAGACCAACCATTTAGAGATAATTTTGTATTGTACATTGCATAAACTGATTGGTCTATAACTAGAAGTGGAGAATGAGATTATGAATGTTAGGGCCCACTAGATTCCCATAGTATTGATAGAAGTATGTTGTGAAACCATCTGGGTCGAATGCTTTATGTGGATGCATTTGTTTGACCACATCGGCCCACCCACCATAGAATGCCGCGAAGTTGTGAACAATGAAGTGGTGGGTTTATCCTTTAAGGGGAGTTGAGATCTTCTGCCAACAAAATACATTCCAGTCCTCTACCAATTTGATCTAGCACCGCACATTTCACCATGAGACTGGAACCCACCATAAAAGTGGTACTTGTCATGTTCAGTGTAAGATCATGCGTTTGTTTGGCATCGATGTCATTGCTCCATAAAATAGTGACACTCAGCGCCACGTAGGAAAAAAACAATGCTCCAGGAAACGTCTGTTTATTTGGAACCATTTTTCCATAAAAAATAGTGCTCTAAACCATGCCTTAGAAATCAAGAAGGAGTGGTTTGGAGCAATGCCAATTTTGATGCTTTCTCAAATTGGAGCTTGCCAACGAAGACATGATGTGGCAGTGACGTGTCACTTCTTATAATGGGTACCATTGTTGAAAATATATATGGAACACTGGTACCAAACATAAAATATTGCTATTGCTCTAGGAAACGTACTATCTGACAACAACATTTCCAAACCAAAAAATATATATCATTTTCTGAAAAAATAAAATAGGGAGAATGATGATGCAGCCCAGGGTCAGAATTTATAGGCTCAAAGTATATTTGGGGTGGGTGTCAGCTCGGAATTAATGCCAATTCACGGGCAAGCATTGGTGTATAGAACATAGGATTTTGACATTTTGAATACTTACAAGTTATAACTCTGCAATGAAAATCAGAAATATGCTTTCAACTCACACATCAGGCTGTTTGCCAAACATATAAGTTGGTAGAGGGTTGAGACATATTTTGTTGGCACGTGATCCGGACTCCTTTTGAGGGAGTCGGGAGCGTTGGATATTGGCATCTGGTTGATCACATCAGGTTGCACCGGACGTCCCGCTAATCACTATCTTCGGACATCCCTAAATTTAGCCCAGACTTTACATAGCCGAGCATTTGGAGGTTTCCCAAATTTAGCGGCTGCATCGTTATAGGGCACAGCGCGCCGGTAGTTGCCGATGCCGAAGGGCAGAGCCCTTGGTGATGGCCCCACCAACCACCGCTCCTCGTGTTGTATCCCTCCATCATTTTATCGGAGAAGAAACAGTCGTCATCATCTTTATTCTTGATCCCCGTCCCGTGATAGTTTCACTTTTCGGCTTTTCCACGTTATCACGCGGCACCGTCTCGCATTCTGATTCCGTATATATATTTGCTGCAAGATTCCCGATTCCGATCCGATATTCATTTTGAAATTAACGATTTTGACCAATATACATGGTTAATTAAGATACCGGATCTGCTCCACACACCTGACGCTTCACAGGCGCCTCATAAGCACATCCTACCATGCATTCAAAACATCTCCTGCATTTATTAATTATTATTGACGGAAGATGTTCCCAATGCACGGTGAATGTGCATGTGAGGCGCCCATTTATCAGAGCAGATCTTGTTTCGTTAATTACTATCTTAACCCAAAATAAATGCAAGTGAGGAGTGACAGTCTGACAGGTATTGTAAAAGAGTTAGGGCCCACTTACACTCGGATGGGATTATTTAGTCAATGGTCAATCTTTTTTATTTTGAATGCAAGGATTGTGCTTGTTTGTTTGATCTGTTGACTAATGATCGTTCTCATCACGTTTAATTTAAAGCTGACTTTACGATGGATTCGACCACCCTACTTTCCTTTTTTTCTGGGAGGAAAATTCGCTGATTCGGTATATATGGTTGGTCTAAGTTGTAAATGACTATTCTAGATCACGTTGCAATGAGAATCTGGTATATATGGTTGGTCAAGAAGTGACACAATAATCACGTGATGTCACGTGAACATATTTATACATATATGATTAATCATATATTAACATATTAATACATATCGGTTGCCTAACGTATCTCAAATATATAATTTGACAAAATTTCAACAGTATATAAATATATTATATATGTCTATCGTATGTGGTTTAATGGTCAAGTGATGTTCTAACCCCCCAAAAAAAAGTCAAACCATGAATCTTTTACTATTTGAACTTTCATTTGGAGATGTAACGTTGCAGATTAAATTTTATTTTTTGGCTCAGTTTGATAGGAGTACAAATACTGTGTAAATATATATAAAATACAAGGTCTTGCAATTTACAACCTGCGGAAGCCCCAGTTTTTTTATTCCCCCTAGCATCCGTCACGGTAACAAAGGTATTATTGTGGGTCGGTGGTAAATGGATAAAATCTTTTTTTTTCCGAAAAAATTGCTGGAAGGAAAGATTTGCTTTGATCTAAGCCAAGAGCCCGTAACCCGCTAACCGAAACAGGAGGCGGTCGAAGACTGCTAGTTCTGTAAGTGAAGGTTCTTTCGGTCGTTTCCAAAACTCATGATTTTAAACGATACATAAATGAGTAAAAAATTAATTTTTATTTCAGTTGAAACACTCTATATGCATGTTCATGCATATTGGGTAGATCAATACTTTGAACTTGATTTTATAACCATTTTTACTCAACTATGTGTATTATAACCCCTTGCTGTGGCTCCTTCAAAGTAGCTGAAATAAAGTTATAAACCCTCCCAAACAAGTCCCAAAGTAATTTTATAAGTGGGGAAGGAAACAGGTGAGAGATGGAGAAAGGGGTAGTGATCTGCTACCAATAAAATGTTCATCCCAACACTCTTCTAACAAGTTATCGCAGCTGTACATGAAAAACATCTCCCTTATAGTGGCAAGTTGGGAGCGTTAGTTGGTAGAAGATCTGAACAGGGTAGCTTATCTGTTTTGTCTTACAACCTTAGAAGTGAAAGAATGTTATTTACAGAAATACTCACGGTCAAGATGTATGCATGCATGCATGTGTTGTCATAATTTATTTATAATAAATTTCATAAGAAACATCTAAATAATTATTTTTTAGAATGATGATTTACAAATTGATTTGAGAAATGAGAATAGAGAATAAGAGAATTAATTCTCAAGGTCTGTCAATTATTTGTTATCCCTAAAAATACAAAGTCCCATCAATTATAATAGTCTTATTTGGGTACCTGATAAGCCCTATTAATAGTAGGGTCTGTTTTGGGCCCTATTAATTACAGTACAGACCCTAAAATAGGCCCTATGGGCTATAGGGTGCGTGGGTCACACTCAGACCCAACTAATCTATGGATAGCCCTAGCTTATTAACCTTACACAGGCTCAGCTCAAGCTTCACATGAATTTAGGGACAGGTGTCAAATCCCCATCATGTGTACAGAGGATCCGAACTCGAATCCAGACATGGACCCCATAATTTGCCATTTTCCCATTTTCAGCGACGGAACCCGCTGTTGAATGGGTCGTCCCAACCCAAACTATTTAACCTGATTGTTACAGTCCTCCGTTGATGCCTATTTTGGCGCAACTACTCCGTTAGGCTGGGCCCATTCAATGGTGGGCCCTTATTCTGATGTTACAAAGGTAACCGAAGTGACAATTTATGAGGCTGCTGTGCCCTAGTCGCTATATTTAAGCCTTTTTGTCAATGGAAGATTCAAATGCCATAGGGACAGAATATAATACCTTTGGCCTTTATGTCAATCTTGATACAATTTATTGTCAATGTTGAGTTGCTGTGACATGAAAGACTCTATCTATCCACCCGGCAGCAAACGTCACTTCCGATTGCCCCTCCTGTGTCAGTCCCTTAGTCCCCTCTCAACTATTTTTTGCCACGTGGTGAAGACTCACTGACCAACACTTTGCCACGTGGAAAGAATTATGAGGATTTGGTTGTGTTGATAGAGTCACAAAAGACGCGGAGAGGCAGGAACCAGGAATTATGACATATTTCACCGTTTGTTTATTACAGACCTCCCAACTCCCAAGTGGTGTGGTCCTAGTCAAATTCATATTTATAGTCCCTTTTATTGGTCTATGGTCATTGGTCATCCTTAGACAACTGCGAGGAAACAGCCTGGATTCCTGAACATGCATGCCACATTGCTGCTCATGCTGAGTCTATAGATCAGACGGTTGTAGTAGCATTGGGCCAGCAACTGGTGGGTCCCGTACCGTCTTTATTGGGTGGGTGTACCGTGTACGGTATACACAATGTAACCATCGTCGTTGAAGATTCAAACGGCACAGAACGTAACGGATGGAAGAGCGTATCGTTTCGGGTTATTTTTGACGCGAAAGTCAGAAAGTGAGTATCGGGGCAATCCGTTTTGTGGTTTCCTCTTTCCTCTGTCGGAATATCTGAGGTGGAGGAAGGTGGGCCCGGCGGGAAGGTGTCTTTGACCGAACGGGGTTCCCGGTTTGGTCTCTTCCCGTATAACAGAGAGAAGGGGAGTAGAGGGAGAGAGGGTTTTGACTAGGTCCGGGCAGCGGGCAGCATCTCTCGGGCAGCTGAAACACTGCACGCCAGGTTCGCTTCACTTAAGATCACCAGAAAGACAACAAAAAGATAATCGGACCATTTTCAAAGTAGGAGAGAGTATGAGAGATATTGAAGATTTATAAGGGGAAAAAAGAGAAAAAGGTTTCGGAGCTGGAAATTTTTTCCTCAAGAAAGAGGTAGAAGAAAAGAAATGATCGGGAGTCTGCTGCAGGTCGTCTGTTTATTGTAATCCGTTTTGTTTTTCTGATGAGATCGGCTATCGATTTTGATTCGGATGACTCGTTCTTCGAAAGAAAATGGTGGACGTTTCGGTGGCTTCTCTTGTCCGAGCATGATGAGCTAGGGTTTGGCAAATTAGGGTTTTTCTGATGCGGTGTTTCACTGGAATTTGGGTGGATCTGCGAAGATTGATGAAGTAGCTGAGGAGTTCCAAAGTTTGGTCTAGAGAAATGAAAGTCATGGAGCGAGAGATGGTGACTTCGGTTCTGCTCTGGTTGATCCTGGTGTTTCATCCGTTGACCAGGATCTATGCTAATACGGAAGGTGTGTAGCTGCTTTTGACTCACCATTTCTGAGGTTTTGTAGGAATTAGATCTTTGTTTCTTACTCTTTGAGTTGTCGATTTGATAAATGGGTGTGCCTTTAGCTGCTTTGTTGATTGTTGATAGTGCACTGATTGCTCTGATCAAACAGAAAGGAAGCTCTGACATCTAATGTTTTCATTGATTTTTACTGGTGGACTAATTCAAAGGGGCACTAAAATTGGATAGATTTAGTACCGTGGTTGTTGCCATGCTTCGTTGAGCTGGTTTTGTTCCGAATTTCGTTCAAATCGACGATATTGACGGTTGGGAAGAACTTGCTTGACCGCGGATGTTGTTTTTGTACTGAAATAAACTCTAGAATTGTAACATAAAGATATTAGGATTCTCTGCATACTAGCGACACCGTGGAATCAAGATATTAGGATTCTGATGGGTCTCAGTAACATCATTGACTTCGGTTACTACTAGATGACATTAGTATTGGAGAATTCTTAGAGAGCAAGTATATGTTTCTACCTTTTGATGGATGTGCTAGTCTGGTCAAGAAAAATTGTTACCCAAAACTTGAGACTTGTCCCCCACCCCTCAAAATGAAAGTAAAAGAAAAAGTGTTTTGAGTGGTTTCTGCCTGATAGAGTGTGGATACCATTTGTGACAATTTAAGATTCTCAAATATTACTTGCTAACAATTGAGGATTACCAGTAATTAATGTTTGTTGCTTGCGTTTGTAACAGGTGATGCTTTGCATAGCCTACGGACAAATTTAGATGATCCTAATAATGTTCTGCAGAGTTGGGATCCCACACTCGTCAATCCATGTACATGGTTTCATGTTACATGCAACAATGATAACAGTGTTATAAGAGTGTAAGCTATTTGACAGCTTATCTTGTAGCTCAGGATTTGACAGCTGACACTGCTCTCTAGTTATTGCATATCTTATGTTATAGTAATTATGATTCCATTCAACTCTTTACAGTGATCTTGGAAATGCTGCATTATCTGGTCAACTTGTTCCGCAACTTGGTCAGCTTAAGAATTTACAATACTTGTAAGTCATGCATTTATGATAAAATTATGTGGAGTTATTTGTTGCTTATTTGTGCTTGTTATTGTATATTTCTTTCCTAAGAGCTTTTCTTTGATGCATCCAATGAACATAAAATATGTATGTTAATTTTATACAATTGTATCCATCACTCTGCTAGTTTCAGTTTTTGTTTTCTTTACGTCTAGAGGATTGTGTGTATATTCAACAAGGTTTTGAATTTTTGATAACTCTAATGTCTAATCTTCACTAGCGCTTAACCTAAATAATGATTTTGTTGAGACAAATAAAAAATAATGATTTGTTGAGTAGGGAATTGTCTAGTATTTAATGTTTTAGTAGGTGTTTAGCAACAGTGCTGGGAACACAGCACTGTTTTCTGAGAAAATGGTGGTGTATGTCTGAGTTGTAAGCACAGTCTTATTTTTTGTTTGGAAATGGTGCTGCCACATAGGCTGTTTTCTGGGAAAACAGCACTGGTTTTGCTTGGTACCAGTGCTGCAGAACCGTTTTCAGCATTGGTCTATATTATCCAACGTCCAAGATGATGCCACATCATTGCACCGCTAGCAGCAACGGGCTGTTTTCTGAGAAAACATTGAATTTGGTGTTTCTTGAGACCATACTTTCCCGATTTCCAAGGCATGGTCTGGAGCAACGTTTTTTTCTGGAAAAACGGTACCAAACAAGAGGCCATTTTCTGAAGCACTGTTTATTTTGATGTGGCACCTATGTGGTGCCATTTTCTGAGAAAACGGCATCGGTGTCAACTCTTCTTTCTGTTTATACATGCAACTTATTTCATATCTTCTTAAAATGAAGTTGAAACTACCCATGTTCAAGCCTCAAGGAGGAAAATGCTGTTTTTACTTTTTACATTTTATGTAGTGATGTAAGCAAAAATTAAAAAAAAAAGTTTTAGTATATAATCTATATAAATGTTCCTCATTAGATTTTTTTTATCCAAAACAGAGGAGTTAACATATTACAAATATTGATTTATAATTTAATTGGTTCTTCATTCTTTTTGTACTGGAGGGTGGTTTATCATCATGGTTTCTAATTAAGACAAACCAACCATCCATTAGCTTTATTGGAACTTATTGGATGGGTATACATACTTGCATACCCTCTTAGATGTTGGTTTCAATACTTTCTTTGCTCCTTGATCAATGTATCAAAGCCCTTAGTCTGGATTAATGAATTTGTATGCATTTAATTCCCTTAAATATGTGCATACACACAGATGGCACATTTAAGTATATGAACTCTAACTATTCAAATTCTTGGTTTGAAACAAGAAATATGTGGAATACCATGCTGCTAGTTGCAATATTTGCAATCAGGGGGCATCTGCAGGTACACCGTAAATGATGTGCTATATACTCTTTAGGCTGCCTGCATCGAATGTGGGATCTTTATTGTCATGCAGGAGTTTCCCTATATATGTAGGGTGATCTGTTCAAGAATTGATGGCTACATTATGCTTTTGAGTTTTGATTTAAGGTGTGGGTATTGGATACATATCCAGGAGTCAGATATGTCTGCCCCAAAATGGGACACTCGAATTAGACTAAGATGGGCTCACTGGCTTGTTTAAACTCACATAAGTTTCAAGCAAGCAAGTGATCTATTGTTTAATAATGTGGATATACTCCACTTTCAAAATCTAATTAAGGGAATGCCAGCAAGAAAACATGGAACAATGAACTTGCAACATGAAAATTAAAATGTAAAAATGTACTGAAAATTTGCAGTACAAAGGTTAAACATAGTTGTCAAGGCGACGTTCTCGCCTAATCTCCTAACAGTTTTCTACTTCCTACTACAAAATACTTTTTTATTCATTATTTTTTGAGATTATAATTATAAAATAGACATTACTAAAGTAAAATAATCATTTTGTGTGTTTATATACTAATCTTTTTATTATTTTCTTATTTATTAGGGTTTAATCAGCACAAACATTGCTAAATGCTGTATTGAACCCTCAAAGACTTGAAAACCTGAACCAATAAGGAAGAACTAAAA